TTCTATCATATATGTTGATTCTTTGATTTTTTTTCTCTATCCGTTATATGTATGGAATTATGTTCGTACTTTGTTCTTATTACAGACAAAAAATTGATAATATAATGGAAAAAAGTGGCAACGCCGAATAGACGAATAGTTTTCGTGATAAAAGTTTGTAGAAGCTATCAACTCAATCAAATACTACTACTGCGTTCATCCATAGTCAATAACTCATTGATAAACGTGATCGACTCCTCAAAAACAAACACATTAGATATTCAATTCGATCTTGAAATGGAATGAAAAATATGATTAATCCAACCGAAGTCCCCTCTACGTACCCATATATAAATTCAGTATTTAATTATCCTAATGATAAATGAAAGAAGATGTAAATTTTTCTCGCAGTTTATTCATTTTTTAACATTTTTAGAATAATTTTTCTTAAACTCTGCTGGTGATTACCGTAATTTTTTTTTCAATAAGTTCATCTCCCAAAGATTCATGCGTGTGCAAAGTTTCATGAGGATGTCTGCATTAATTCTTTACGTCCTTATAGATTTTCTTTGCAATAACATAATTTTATATGAGTTTCCAGATTCGATTATTTAATATTAAAATTTTGAAAACCCAAAAGGTCTGGGACCCATCAATCAATTTATTCAAATATGTAACATCAAGATCTAATTTATGAGGAATATTAATGTGGACGTCAGAAATAAGAGGGCCCATTTTGTACTTCATAATAAACCAGAATTAATAATTAATTAAAGTCAATAATTGATATAACTCACCCATAAATTGAATCACTTGAATATAATCTAATATTGGATTTTGCCCCTCAAATAATATTACATTTTAATCCCTCAGATAAATAAAATTCGAATAGCTCCCAATAAACAATAACCATCGAGAGTGATTTTAATGAGGATTCAGCCCGGGAATGACTCAGGTGATTTTTTTAATAGCAGAAATTGAATATTACGTTGGAAGGAATGACTCCCCGGAATGAAAAAGAAATGAACACCAAGAGAAAGGGAAAATCCACTGGCAAGGTGCCACACACTGATGCTAAACTACAAATACACGATGAATCCAGGTTCAATGTTGCCATGAACCAGCAAAAGTGAGTGCTTTTTTCCCGTTACATTTCCAGTCTCGTTGACTCAACGATTAAGACAGAGACGACGTGCCATGCACACATTTCAACGTTCTGTACCGCTAGCTTCCGAGAAATTGACTCTCGATGCCAATGAAGTAATTTCAGGCATCAAAACATCAGGGAAAAACAGAATTTTGTGAAAAAAAAAAATGAATCCTCAATAATATCAATTCATTGACATCTCATTGACATCTCTACACTATCAATCATGATGATCGCCCTGGCAAAAACCTAGAGTTCAATGAAATATAATAATTTCCTGAATTTATTGATTTTCATGTGTCGTTCATCGATTCATGGATTCATCGCACATCGTCTTCATGTCCTTTCTCCCTCTCTCCGATCCATCAATTCTTAGAAGCTACGTGTCGCCTGGCCCTAAGTGGGTCGTATGCATAACATCTGATGACTTGGAATCATTTGTGCTCGATCCACTGTTACATATCTTCCGGGTTATCCCGAAACTTCCAGATGAATGCAGCCGGTCTCTCCTTCGAGAACGATCCGAGACCATTCACTGGGATACCTTTCATGTCTAGAATCTAAACCACTGGGAACCCCCACCCCACAATGCATTCCCCTAAAAAAAATCCTCCATTTTTTCTCAATATCGCCAACCACTGATATCACCATGAACCATCTTCCACTTCCTCATCCTCATCCCCTCCCTTCGAGAATCCTCCGAATGTTATTTGACATGCTCACCCCCCCACCATCTCCCTTAAAACCTGAATAGAAAATAATCACCACTACACATGAATAACATCAACTGTCCATCGTTTTTTGGTGTCCTACCGCAGTGTCTACCAGAAAAACGATGCTTCCAATCCATATGTATGGGGTGTTGTAAATGTGCTGACTACACTAACTTGCTATATAAGATCGGTCTCTACCATCAAAAACCTCAGACTCAGTCCGATCGGTCAGCCGTTCAGATATCTCGAGACAAGTGAAGAGGGAAAATCAAATAATCATCTGAGAAACTGACCAAGAGATTTTTGCAACCAACAGTCACTGATCCGATATACATTCTTAAACTGAAGGATTTATTCATCTGTAATCATTGAGTCAAGATGGTCCCATCATTATTTCTGAGCACAACGACATATTTTCTGTTGACGGCTTCGCTGCTGGCTCTCTTGATTTTTCTCATTGATTATGGCAAGGCAAAACGAAGGAGGACCATGTCAGGCATCGTCGAGGAGGGCATCGTCAAGGAAATAAAGAAGGACGAGGTACCAGATGCACCTGGACCCAAGCCATGGCCAATCATTGGATCTCTTGATGTCCTGGGACAGTACGATGTGCCATATAAAGCATTCAGTGAGCTTGCTAAGCAGTATAACAGTCAGATCATAAAGCTCAGGTTGGGTTCGCTGAACTGTATCGTTGTCAATGGAGTGGAGAACATCAAGGAAATTCTCTTCATCAAAGGCACCCATTTCGACTCTCGTCCAAACTTCGCGAGATACAATCAACTATTCGGTGGTAACAAAGATAACTGTGAGTATTCATTGTTCATCAAGAATTAAGACATTGCCAAACATTGAACTATTATTTCCTCAAGCAAAGTAATTTCGTGTTTACATAACAATGCCGAAAGTACGGACATGATCAGGGTCACGTTATACTGACTTTCTTCCGAAATTCACAAAAACATTTCGAGAATGAGGTTTTTTATTCCACTAATGTTTCCTTCCTTATTTATACTTAACAGCACTGGCGTTCAGCGACTGGTCTGAGCTGCAGAAAACCCGACGTGAGATGCTACGGGCCCACACATTTCCCCGGTCATTTACCAAGAGGTATAATGAGCTCAACTGCTTCATCGCCAAGGAGATTGAGCAGTTGCTAAGTCATATCGAGAGTAGTGCAAGTACCAATGTCAAGGTCGCTATAAAGCCACCGATACTGAAGGCGTGCGCTAATATCTTCACTAATTACTTCTGCTCGAGGCGATTTGGTGATGATGATGGAGAGTTCCAGAGCTTAATCGATGCCTTTGATAACATATTCTGGGAAGTGAATCAGGGGTACGCAGCTGATTTCATGCCATTTCTTCTACCTTTGCACACTCGGAAGTTCCAAAAAGCTACCGCATGGGCTGCCACTATTCGTAGATTTGTTGACAAGCGATTGATTGGCGACCGGAGATCATCCTGGACCGAAGACACTCCTGAGGAGGACTACGTGGACTGCTTGATTAATCACGTGCAGAGCAACGCTGAACCCAACATGTCGTGGGAGACTGCTGTGTTCGCGTTGGAGGACATCATCGGAGGACACGCGGCTATTGGAAATTTTCTCGTTAAAGTTTTGGGATACCTGGCACCGAGGAGACACGTCCAGGAGGAAGCGCAGAAGGAGATTGATGGAATTGAAGGGCTCGGGAAGATTGTGGGGTTAGAGTACAGAAGAAGCATGCCATATACTGAAGCCATTCTTCTCGAATCCATCAGACTCATTGCCAGTCCCATTGTCCCACATGTGGCGAATCGCGATAGTTCCGTTGCTGGTGAGTTTCATGAAAATCCTCTACATAGTATCAATCATGTGAAATTTTTTTGAAGCAAATGGAAATGTCGTAGTCACTTGCATTAAAGTCTCAATTTTTAAAAATTTTTTGCTTATCCACTTGCTCTTTTCGTTGCAGGTTATAAAGTTGAGAAGGATGCGTTCATATTCCTCAACAACTACGATCTGAACATGTCCGAAGAGCTGTGGACATCACCTCAAGAATTCATCCCCGAAAGATTTATAAAAAATGGCACGATATTGAAACCAGAGTACTTCCTGCCATTCGGCGGAGGTAGACGATCATGCATGGGTTACAAAATGGTGCAGTACCTCACCTTTTCAATTGTTGCAACTATTCTCAAGCATTACACTCTTCTTCCTGCGGATGGTGAGAGTTACCATGTACCTGTTTGTAGTCTCGCGTTGCCAGCGGACACGTTCAAATTTAGGTTTGAAAAAAGATGATTCATCAGTACTGAGTATACCTATTACATCCAAAGAACTGCGAATCGTATGAGCGCAATTGTTAGATTTTAAGATAGATTTCTACTATTTTTCGTGCTCTGATTATTCCCCAGGAGAGAAATGACTATCGAAACAAGACTGGGCCAGCTCTGTGTCAGTACAGAGCAACTCTGAGACTCTACTGCATATCGGTATCATTTGAGTACAAAATTTTCACTGTAGTGATGACAAATATTACAGTACTCAGTCTCAGATTTGTCTCAGTACCGTTTACCGACGCTGTATCCCTATTGTTTGATTTCACTTTGTCAGTACTGATATTTAATACTGAAACACGATCATGGATCGGCGTAGATTCATAACTGTGTCTCACAATAAATCTATGCCGACTCTCACGTGTGGCAGTTCATTCATGTAGTTCAATAATTAGTCAGTAATTGTCCGTTTATACATATATATTTGTTTTTTAGTTATCGAAATACAGTCAATGAATAAAAATATTCATATTTTTTCCATACAAAGTTCTATATTTTTTTGTATTTTTTGTACTTGAATGTCTTATATTTTGTCTGTTGAATTTTTAAAAACTTCTTTTTTCAATCTTTTTATTTCAATTCTCTTATTTGGAACGAATAACTAGAAGTTACAAGAAAAGGCGCCTGTTCATCCCTGCGAACATGATTTCTTTCTTTCTGCAGCCACCTTCTCTATCCACAGCCACAGACAGCCACCGACTAGTAACACCTACAAATTTGAGTGTAATTACGCTTCTCCTATTTCATGTTGAGCGTTTCAGAAGAACATGAATAAGTCAAAGATTGAGGGAAAGAGCATATCTGTGGAAAGTGACCCGAAAATACATAACAGGAAAAATACCTTACTCACAAATATGTTCCGATAGTCACAAAGTAGTTCAGTCTATCCTTCCCCTGTTTGTAGAATTATGGGAATAAGAATTAAAGTGATTATTAGAATGAATAAATTTGTGATAATTTGGAAATTAACAGAATGGAAAATACTTATAGATTTTTAACATTAAAAAATTAGAAATGAGAATAACTCCCCATCGGAATATTAAAAAGTTAAAAAATGAATGAATTATTGTCTGTAAATACTGAGGATGAATTCCACTTGCGTAGGTCAATTTTACATTAGCAAAAGATAAGCCAATCATCAGCAGGCCTTGATCATTGTCTCCCGTTTACAATTACATTCATCGTTCGGTGCCAAAAAAGTCCACGATGATTGCACCAGGTCCATTAAGAATTCTCCTTTTACATTAAATTCATGAAGAAACGTGACTATCACGTTCTCCAGGATCATTTGTATTTCCATCTGACATTCTAGAAATAAGAGGTTTCGGGGCAGATTATCTTTTCGACGTTAACCTCCAATTGGATACTATATTGAATTGTTGCTTACTTGATAAATTCCAACGCCTAAATTCATCAAAAAAACAAACAAAAATTGAATAAAATCGAATATGAATGTATGAATCGTTTTATTATTGTTCACTGATTCTGCAATGATCCACTTGTAAATTTTAATTCCAATTGATTGAACTATTCCATCCCGTCTTAAAGGAGTTACATTAAATTACAAACCTTAAAAGGGAAGACCAAATAAAAATTAAAAAATCCAAAAAAAGTGCATCACATCATCTCTTGCAAGCGAGCTATCATCGAAATGAGAAGGAGAGAGTGAGGGTCACTGATTATTGCACATTGTCTGTCCTTTCCCTTTATGATTTCGATTCAAATATTTACCAAAGTGCTAATACCGAAACAAGATTGGATCAATACTGAAAACCACGATATTATTGCGATATTGACTCTAGGTTGATTTACATTCGATTGTCAACGACCGAGAGCTCGGATCTGGAATGATCTTCTTGGTCGTCACACCTGTATCAGTCAATCACCAAGAATGGACTGATCCTAGTTATTAAGTATTTAAGTTAAATATTATAAATTTCTATTAGTGATAAATCTCCAATCATCTGCTCATTGACTCCATGTTTTTCTTATTTATTGGTGAGACGAGAACATGAATGGCAATATTTATTGTTTAAGGGATGAGTTTTTCATAATAAAACAAAAATACGAAGATTAATTTCAATGTGTATTTACTCACTAAATCATTATTCAGTCCTTGAACGCTCCAACATAACATGAAGCCTAATTTAAATCAGGTTAAAAACTATTCTTACTTTAAGAATCAAGGGCAATACATGAACACAATGGAAAATATTGAAAAAATTGGTCCGATGTCGAGTGGGATAACTTACTCTTGGCCTTAACATTGCACACATTAAAGTCAATTTTTATTCTTTTCAAGCCTTCATTAGTTCATTTATCCCAGAACTTCTTATTTTTGATACAATAAAAGCTCCAAAATGATTGGATATTTCACGACAAGTTCGTACCAAACAAACGAAGGGGCGGACTTGATCAAGTCAAAATTCAACGACTTGATTATACTAAGGCCAGCATAAGTTTTTACTTCTCTGGGTACCCCCACTCCACGTAGTTACCACCTGTAACCATGTCCCCCACTCCTAAAATCAATGTTAAAACTTATGCTGACTTCAGTATAGTATGGGTAACACCTTGACGGGAATACTTGATAAATTTTGAAGCTCGTGTGGTATTCGGGGGATTATTTTTCAATCCAAATGTCACTCAATAGTATATTTGCATCATGAGACGAAACTCCAAATTAAGAGATGAAAAGTTCACAATCAAATGTAAAGTGTCAGTTTAATTTTCAAACAATCATCAGTTAAAAACTCTCTCGGTCATACCTCGCGACGTCGACTGCTGTAATTATATTGATTGACGTTGGAGTTGAATGAGAAATAATTGTTATTCTTCGTCTTTTCTAAAAATAATGTCCACACGATACTCACCAAGACAGTCAATAATCCCCTGCTTTTGACTCAACTCTTGTGTAAATCGTCGTGAAAAATCTCCAGATCCAATGGAGATGTGGAAATTTTGATAATAACTTCTTCATACTCATAAAAGAAATGAAATAATGCCGAATAATTTACGCAGCGGTCATATCCCTCATGGGCATTATCTTCTCTTTCTCCATAATCTGTACCTCAACGACTTGCCTTCTCTTCTTGGAGAAGAGAACATCGATGTCATGGAGTGTCTTGCCCTTGGTCTCGGGCAGAAACATGAGTACAAAAATAGTCCCCAGGAATGAAATAATGGTATAGAAGAAGAAAACCCCGTGTTTACCCATGGTATGTAACATACTTGGATAAGTTTTAACCGTTATGAAACTAAATATATACGCAGCACAGGTTGTCAGACCAGAGAGAACGTCCTTGACCTTGGCGGGGAATATTTCGCCAATCATAGCGAAGGGTAGACTAAGAAAGCCAATGGTGCTCATGAAGATGTACATGATAATGCAGACAGCTGGTATGAATCCGTGATCATTGATTTCGTAACCCTTTTCCTGGAGGTAGAGATAGATTGAAAGAATTCCCATGAAAATTGTTATTCCAGCCCCAGATGCTATCGACGGCTTCCGCTTTCCCCAAATCTTCGACACGTAACCAACCAGAAGAGTTCCAATGAGTCTTGTCATGCCGATGAGAATGGCGCCAATGAATTTGTCCATCTTCATACCAGCCTCCGAGGTTATGTCAACAGCGTAATAAACGATAACAAAAATCCCTGAAAATTGCTGGAAGAAGAAGTAGGCTAGCATTATGATGAATGGATAAAGAGAGCTGCGTTTTGTTAAGTTCTTCAGCAGTGACTGCTTCTTGGTGCTTTGGTAGTGTCTCGTGTGGCGAAGTTCAGCTTCAACTTCGGCTGTGATTGGGTGCTCCTTTGCCACACCACGGAATTTCTTCATGACCACACGGGCCTCGTCCAGACGACCGCGGTCTCTCAACCACATTGGAGACTCTGGAACTGCCAGGATCGTTACGATTATTGCTACTGCTGGGAAAAGACCGCAGAGGAGAGCAATCAGCCGCCAGTTTTCCTGAAAGAAAATGATTTATGGAGAATTCAGCAAATCAAGTAAATCAATAAAACCGTTTAAGTACATCTGGTTAATTGTTTTTGGTCGACAAATAGATTTATTACTGCAATCGACTCTCGAAGGAAAGGGTTCATGCCAGGAGATATATCTAATGACTTTTTTTATATGAAATAGTCTAGATCAAGTTGCAACTCTAACTCGAAACAATCTATGGCGACATAAACGAAAAAATAATAATTTAAAAAAGTCGATATAGTTATCCCAACTAAAAACGACAAGAGAGACCATTCATAGCATTCTGCAAAAGGTTACTATGAACAGCTTATCGAAAATCAAATGAAATCTATTAATTAATTAGCACGAATTCATAATAGAGGAACGACAATCAATCTTTGGCTCTCATTCACTGATTAATGAACTAGATTAACTATTGGTGTAAGCTCCATGCTTATCGTCGCCGCCATCTTTATGTCTAAATTTAGGGAAGAATTTGATGTAATTAAAGAAAATTTCGAGCTATTCTTGTAGAATAATAATGTAATTCAGATATTTTTAAATCTTAATAGATTCGTATAATATAAAATAAAGAATGATGAACTGAAAATCTAAAAGTGAAAACATTCCAAGCAATGAATTTCTATGAGAATAAAGGAATAGAATCGGTAAAAAGTGGTAGAATTCAGCTATCGGTCGCTGATTGGTTGGAGGATTTTAGGAGGGGACTGGGGGGAAGGCTGAATGGGGCGGAGATAGAGAAGCCCCGAGTGAAGAGGGGGTGCAGTGAAAAATCCCTTAGTGTTCAGGTTGGGGGTCTGAATTCTTAGAAGAACACTCAAAGAGTTACCCTCTCTCCAACCAGTTCGTCAGCTGATTAATATGAGTGCGCAGATCTGTCACGCATAAGAGAGAAAAGGGATAATATTAAAAGAGAATGCTCAGGGGAGAAAATGTTAGAGTGGGGGAAAGTTTCTCCTCACGCAATGATGCATGCATTGATTGACAGTCGGAAAGGTAGCCACTAAGGGAGGTTTCACTGTATATATTACGAGAACGAACGCGCGCTATAGCGCGCTGTAATTATAAAAATCGTGATTAAAAATTGTTAATTTAAATGAGTTCCAAATTCAAATTAGCCGCCTCAGATAACTGAACCAATGAGGAATAAGCGTGATAGAGTTTCGAGATATTGATAGTCTCGATGTTTATCCTTTTTAGGATAGGAATAAAAATTGTTAATTTAAATGAGTTCCAAATTCAAATTAGCCGCCTCAGATGACTGAACCAATGAGGAATAAGCGTGACAGAGTTTCGAGATATCGATAGTCTCGATGTTTGTCCTTTTTAGAATAGGATAGGAAAGCCAGGAAATTGAAAAATATTGAAGGGATCCATGAATAAATAATGGCGTGAGATTTATCAGCTCGTGGAGTTTTGTAATGACCGAATAACTCGGCAGTTAGATTATTTTACACTTGGATTCATATTTTTATCGCCATTCTGCTCACCTGCACGAAATATCCGAAGATATAAACCAGGAGAATTCCAACAGCAATGGCCATGCTACTCCACGTGACTAAAGTACTCCTCCACTCGGAATCAGCAATTTCAGCGGTATATACTGTAGCAGGTACTGAGGCTAGACCTGTTGCAATTCCTCCAATTACTCTCCCAACAATTAGTTTCTCGTAATCCGTGGACATGTAGATCAATAACCATCCAATCAAGGAGAATGTTGATGTCACCAAGAGACTCAATCTTCTGCCTCTTCGCATTATAAAACTACATAAGATGCAGCCAATGGGAGTTCCAAAAGCAGCGGCACTAGCTGAAAAAAATTCCATATTCGTTAATAAAAAATATTCCGTAATAGTAATATTCAGTAAGTTCAAGTTACAGTTTGAGCTTATTTAGTTGATCCAAATATATTATTTTTTTTTATTTTTAATTTAAAAACGTTAGGGGAGATCCGGGTAAAATAGGACATAAGATAAAATTGAATGCAGGAAGTGCAATGGGCGACGAGGAGAAAAGATCAATCGTAAGAAGCCATTATATAACAATTCAGTTTTTCAAGAATTTTATTATATTTCATCGACTGAAAAATTGAAAATTCCCACGTAAAGAACATCACGGTCAGAAGCGAAAAATGAGCGATTGCAGTGATTTTTCATGAATTCCACATGACTTTTCATCAGGGCAGTACCAGATCCCGCGTTTGCTAATACGAGACCAGTAATTTTTCGTACATATTTCTCTCCGTGTAGCTTATTTTTTGAGAATGTTGGAAAATAAAAAAAGTAAGAAAGTAACACTACAATTAGAAGAAAAAATTAAATTCACAAAAAACACTAGGGCACATTTAGGCTGTCTCGAAGATTTTTTGGCGAAAAAAAATTGACTGAGAATAAGTTAAAAACGCTATCCCCAAGAGTCCCATTTGGCCCGGGTCTGCCCTACATATCAAATTTTTGTCATAAATAGCTTGTGTTTATTTCCACACGGAAGCCATGGAATGGCATTTTTTTTAATTTTCCAATTCCTATTGAAAATACTTAGAAATTTATAAGGTAATAATAAATAATGTCTACACGATGAGAAAAATTCTCCAAAAATTACGTGCCTGTTCCGTAACCTGCCAGTCAAAACAGTATTCAATAAAAATTACGGAAAGTTACGCATTTTTCACTGCACGTTCCGTACTTTTTCGTGAACGCTCTAGACTTTCTTCGGCAAGTCTACTGAAAAAGTGCGTAACTGTCCCGTAATTTTTACTGAATGTTGTTTGTACTGAATGTTGACTGGCAGGTTACGGAACAGGCACGTAATTTTTAAAGAATTTTTCTCTCCGTGTATATGTGTGTGGTTATAAATCTGGAAATTTATCGTTATTTATCCAGAATTTTTGCTATTACTGGAGAGTAGTGGACGCAACGACTCCGAAATTTTGTCTTCGATTGGTATTTTAATTAGTCCAACATTGAGCTTGAACCATTGAGCGATTACGTTGATATAGCGATTTCGCAAAAATGGTTTGACGGTTTGACCGATTCCATTTTTTTTTCTTTTGTGCCATATTCGGTATATCTTCGGTATAAAAAAAAAATTTCAAAGTACTTGAGCAATTTCGACACAAAACCTTTGCCGATTTTATCAAAATCTTTTATTTCATGTCCCTTTTATGTCCTTGTGGTGTTTTTCTAGATTATTTCAGGTTCCGTTGCTCTACTGCAATTTTTGAAAAAAATTATCGAGATACTTGCGCGAGAGATACTGCAAAAAAGATAGGTGAATTAAGCATATTTTATACTTGATCCTAATATATTTATAATTATTATTAGAATCATGGGAAGATCAGTCTTTGATCGATATTAATAAAAAATCAAATGTACTATAATCATTTCATCAATAAAATATACATATTTCAAGTATATATTTTTTGTGAATACTTAATTTTTTTATAATATTAATAATTCATTAATATTAATAATTGAAAAAAATCATCATGTGAATTAAAAAAAATTAATTTTCATGAACTTATAAGCTATAGCTACGCGACGGAAAACGTTAAAACTTTTCGTTACATGTGGATTTATTTTTATAGATGGATATATTTTACCTATCCAAGACCCTTGATCTTCATCGATCGTCAGATCACTGCGGCCACTTTTCAATGTTGGAAGTATGACAGCGCTGTATCCGAATCCCATGGCAGGTCCCAATATCGAGATATTCGCAAAAATACTCATTGTCATCTGCGAATGATAATAATAATAATGATTCTCCATAATCTCATTGTGATGTAATATGCATTATCACTGAGAAAGACGGCCCGGCGAAATCATTTGCATAATAATTCATCTTACGCAATCATGGAATTCATAAATGTTTCCATTAGAACTAAATTGAAATGATTGAAATTTTTCTCTTGGATTTAATTGAGGTGATAACAGGAGCCTTGCGGTTGATCCCACCCAAGGAGATAATAAAACTCTCACTTATTGTTTGAGGAAACCAGTTCTGAGTATTCGTCTGTGTGGGACATCAATTACTAGATAACTCAGCGATTTTAATTACGAAATTCCTAAGGAATTCCAGAAAAATCGACAGAAATCGGTTGACTAATTATCTTAGATGTCTTGTCATTACTTGTTATCTCAATAATTTGTAATCTCTTTAAGTTTTAAAGAATTTATTAATATCCCCCTCAGAATGTAATTACTCATTAATTCCGTGCAGTTCATGAAGGCGGGTAATCCTTGGAAATGAATCACGCAGAAAATGCAGGTGAAGGAGAAGAATTGAAAAGTCAGTGGCTACTTATTGAGAAGAAACATCGGTTTACACTCGATTCGGAACCGGTTAAGAGAACAACTCAATCTCCAGATATAGTGCAAATTATTATGAGTTCACTGAGAAAAAATATTATTTAGTGGAGAACATTTACTCTGACCAAGTAATTCTTGAGATTTTCGACGCATAGATTCAATTATTTGCCATACTTTATTTCATTATTCATTTCCTTTGATCTATTTTAAGATATGATGGATGAACATAAAATGAAAAATAGTTAATAATTAATGGAAAAAATCCAAATAATTTATTTTATGTAATTGCGGCCGGTAAAACGCGTTTTTATCCGAGCGAAGCGAGGTTAGACCACAACAACACAAAATAGCATTATAGCCACGGCGGAAAAAGTGATTCTGATTCCCTTTTTCCGTCCTAGACGTGAAATATACTATTAAAGCCCGGGTGGACTATCTATCAAACGTCGACTTTTGTTTAAATTTTATCTTTTTAACCTAAAATACATTAAAATTTGGGATCAATTTTGTTTTGCGGGAAGCACTTGAATGGATATGAAAAAATAATGAAAAAAAAAGGAAAAATTATTGAAGGGCGCTAAAGATCGATATTATTCAAAAGGAATTTACCAAGTTGGCTGTCACTCAATCTTCTGGAGAGCAATGGTAAGCTGCGTAATGTTTATTATTTTTTTGTAAACTTGGTAGATCCCTTTTAAACAATATCGCTCTTGAGCGCCCTTCAATAATTTTTCCTCTGTTTTTTCATTATTTTTTTATAACCATTCGAGTAGTTCCCGCAACACAAATTTGGTCCCAAATTTTAATGTATTTTAGACTAAAAAGATGACATTTAAACAAAAGATGACATTCAACAGAAGATAGTCCACCCGGGCCTTAATTAACAAATATTTAAAAGGGCACTTGTCAAGAATGTATTTTGTTGGTAAATAATTTTTTTATCAGTATTCAAAAGCCTTTGCACGATTACCAGAATCAGCTAATAGAAAAAATTCCTATTTTTGATATTTTATGTAATATTTTTTCTATAATTTTTCAATGATTCTGGGATGAATGAACTCAATCATTGTTTGCTCACTTGATGGATAAGACCTCGACGCTTCTGTATCTGCAGTTCCTCGTCTGAACTCGGCTCGACCTAATGAAATTAAAAAAATCTGTTAAAAAATTGAAATCGTACACCAACGATATTTATTCGTAACACGAAACCTCGATATTCCCATGGAAACAAGAAGACTATTTCAATTCTTATTACAAGTACTTTCCAGATCTCTCGGATTTCACTTCTTTGTGGCGATTATACATTTTAATACGGAAGGATCGGATTCCATCGAAATTTGTTGGAGCATTAAAGATATACCATTTATTATCCCAGGTAATTAATCCCATGTGCACGCTTCAAAATTTCTTGAAATTTCAGTCAATGAATCAAGCATATTTTATATTTAACCCTAGTATATTCATAATTGTTATTTGAATCGAGGAAAACTGGATTTTTCATCGCAAATAGGATACACCAGGATCAAGTATGAAATCTACTTGATTCAAGTATTTTCGCGTTTTATATTCAATTATGTAAGTTAAGCTTCAATTTCAATTTTAAAAAATACCTGAATTTGCGATAGCTTGGGAATGTAGGGGAATAGTTGTAATAAAATATGAGAAAAAATCGTGTTGAAATAATGACTCACCTTAATCTCCAATACTTCACTGTGTTCGTTCATCATGATGATTATATTATTTACTCTTTCTTCACAGTCGAAAAATTATTACGGAAGATAAATCCGAGGTTTTGCGGGTCAAATTGACGAAACTATTCACTCGATCTTTGAATTATTGAAGATATCAATTGCCAGATTAACTGATTGATACGTTCTGTAACAACAGCTCCATTTATCGTCTCTCAATTGGTCCCCTGGATAAACAAGAAAGAATTAGTTTGAAAAATCACTTGAATAATTGGGAATGTTCATACATTACGTCTGAGTGCGGAGAATGTCAGGGAAAGTTGGAATGAAGTGCTGGTGATTGAAAACGAGAGAATGAAAAGGAAAAGGGCGGCTGTTCGTGAGACTCGACCGGCACGAGAGTCAGTCGGCGACTGATGATTTCGAGGAATGGAACAGTTTTTCTAGATTAGATTGGATGGTGAAATGTATGAACATGTGGAGGAGGCTGTGGATGTGACGAAACGAGATAGCGGATTCGTTAAAAAAATGACGATGACGATTCATTGGTTGGGAAAATAATTACTTCATTATATCGATCTCAATATTTTTTTCATTCAATTGGATATTTAAATTATCTCCAAATACACACGAATAATAATTGTCTCAAATTTTTGTCTTGAAATTTTTGCATATCATTTTACTATTATTAATAATAATATAATAATGTTAAGTTTTTAATTACGATGTGTAATCCACAATTTTGTACTATTTTATTCAGTTGAATTATATCACTTGAAAAATTCTTTCAGAATTAAATTACAAAAATTATAGTTATTCTATAAATAAAAACTGTGAAGCAATATCAAAATAATGTACAGTAGTTGTGAGTCAATGAATTTATAAAACGAAAACCCTGAAATCCAATACATGACTTAAATTTGTTTTAATTAAAACAAAAAATTACTGAGATCGATCAATTAAATAATTGAACAATTCAAGTAAAATGGAACAGATCTAAATAATTAACATAAATAAATAAAATAAATTGAATTAAATTGATATATCGTAAAAATTCGACAGCAAAAGAAAACCTAAATGTCTTAAATAACCGCTAATTATTAATTAAATAATTAAATAATTAATTACTATTACTAATTATTAATGTGAGAGACTATTGTCTGCTGCGACCAATTCCCGAGTTTAATTATGATGACAAGAAAAATTCTGAGCTGGAATCCCGATTTAATTAAAATTTATGTCATTATCACCGTCTACTGCCCCACACATTCCGATATCGATCCCGGGATTACAAATTCTCTCCTATCGACTATCATCTTAGCTTTATATCAGCTACAAAGACGGATACGACACCTTAATCCGATTGAGTTAAGCGCATGACGTGTTGACATTATTCATGTGTTAATACTCTCCCTCCGCGGATTGCGATATTAATTGATCGATTCATTTTCTTCATTTCCGGGAGATTTTCGCGGAGGTGAGTGTCAATCGAAGGGCAGTTGATCACCTGTGGAAAGAACGCGTCGAGAATCATCTTCATGACCTAGACCATGCGAATGCTGGACACTTGTGACAATATTGATAAATTTAGCTCAGAACATGTGTTTCAAAGTAATAACTCACGGACTTCCTTCAATTTTATTGGGAGCCCATTGTACGCTTAATAAAAATTTAATATATTCTTGTATTAGAGATATTAAGAATTTATTCAATTTTTATTAAACGTAATTATATAATAATTACTAGCACAATAATAACAATAATAACCGTAATAATAACAACAATAATAACAACAGTAATAGCGATAATAATAATAATAATAATAGCAATTATGTTAGAAATACTAGCATATATATTTGTTAATAGGTGAATTTTTTTCGGGGACAGTTTTGAGCGAATATCTCAGAATTAAAGAAAGATAATGCCATTCGTGGATACCTTTTCGGTAGTTAACATTTTGTTCTATAAGAAATGTTTGAATTGAAAAATCGATATATTCCTTAAGTTCCGAGATATCGAGTAAAACTGGTCTCGAAAAAAAATCGCTTATCTATCCTAATTAACCACTTCGCTGCTGATATGACACGTTGCATTTCTTTGCAGAAAAAATATATGTAATATATTGCATTTTTTGTCGGAGTATATATGCATATAATTAATCATTAATAATTAATATTGTTGGGTATTTGATCTCTCTTTCCCTTTCGATCGATCGTCATTCTTCCTTGAGGAGCCACAGACGCGTCTTTAATTTACGTAATTCTTTTATTATTCTATTCCCCTAAATCACCTAATAAACATTTTTAATATATAAAGAATAGTTAATAATTTATATTTCACTTGTGTATTTGTTCCGAAGTGGAGTTTCGTGCAAGGAAACATAGAAATCATTATTAAAATCTCTACTTATTGTTAAATCACAAAACCCAATATCAATGTCATAAAATAAGAATAATTATAACATTGTTAATCGAGTGGAAGGATAAGTCTGAGTGGGGAGTATTGTCAATTGTAATTAACATCTGGTTATTTTGACCTTTGTTTATCTTTTGAGTTGAGCATCATTGTATGAATTTTCTCTTTCTAAATTGTTATTCTTTCTGATTATTTATTGAATCCCGAAAACTAATCAAGTGCAGATGTGCACTAGCACTTCAAGCCTTAACTATCTACTAAATAAAACATTATTTTGTGGTGATCTGGTCGATTGTTCTTATTCATAATATCAATTAATGAAAGGGTGTTTTAAGAAAACGAAGAATAAAATCATTTCTGTACTAGAGGAATAGAGGATCAAAGGGTCAAAGTACATCTGGCCCTATTTACGTACGATTATTGGACTGTTACAATCTTCAGATATCTTTTGTCATTTACTATGTTTATAGAGGCTCCTGCTGATTACAAATGGTTCCCCATAAACTCAAACTACTCACTACGCAAATATTTTATCTTCAGCAATAACTTAAACAAAATATTTCCTGGAGTTATTAATAATGAATATTTACAATTCCTACAAGACTAAAGAGCATCTCCTTTAGTGGGCGTATAATAAAAAATAGTACTTGTTCACTGATTTTTCGGTGGAACTTGGAAATTTATATTTCCAAGATATTTTCAATTTCAGTTGTCCTATGATTTTTATAAATATTAGCAAATAATTGAAAATAATCATTTAAAATACAGGATTATTATTATCATTGCTATTACTATTATTTATTGGAAATAATTTATTACCTTATTTGCAGCGTGCACGGGAAATTCATTGAAGATTCTATACATGAATTTATAAAAACTTCTGAAATCAATCATTGCAATGAAAAAATCGTGAAATCGGCAATCATTGGATCATGATTTTCAGGAGTAAATTATCTTTCAACAAGATGTCTCTTAATGATCGATGGCAGATAACATTACTCTGTATTGAGATCTGTCCTTACACCAGTGGTGACAGTAGATCTCTCGTTTTTATATCTTGACCTTGACTCGAAATCACGACGATAACGATAAGTTTTGATTGATCTTCCTAATATGCATTAATGATTACGTCGAGCGGTCAGGATTTTGCGTATCTATATCACCCTCATCTATTACAATAAACAAATTACAACAAATTCTTTAAAAAAATATTATGACTATATTCTTACTTGTCAATATTTATTATAAAAACGCAATTAGCCTTTTTAACACTAATTAATGCTCATTAAAACTAATGAAAATGCATTTATTTCAGGAATTGCATACAATAAAATTAATTGTTGATGAAATCCCATGTACATAAATATGAATTTCTATAAAAACTATGATTTCACAAAAATTTGCAATCCAATTAGTACTCAGACAATTCATTACAATAGTCTCCTAATTACGTTAAAAAATTATGAACATTGCATCACTTGCTGTGTAATTAAATGATAACCTGATAAGAAATTATGGGAATTGTGTTACTCATTAACAAATTAATTATTAACATGATGACCTTGTTACACTGGAAGTCACGTAAAATTGAAAACTGAAAAATTTTGTTGAAGAATTAATGAAATTTCAATGAATAAAAGCAGAAAGCTGTGGGATCCGGGAATTCATTGACTCAAAACTAAATTTGCCTAATTTAATCTTGATATTGATTGATAATCAGAATTTCTCAATCGACAATCGATTTCTCGATTGAATTTCGATGAATTTGTGCACCCAAAATCAAGAGTCAATCCGATAATCAAGTCCACGTGCTACAGATAATCAAAATTGAAAAAAGAAATTGTTTAAAATAAAATGTATTGATATCATCTATGACATTAATTAACAGCATCAATCACATATTTTGTCTCCGCAGATCTCTTATCAATCGAAAATGCAAGGCGCATGAATCTCTTTTAAATTCATTACCTCCACCCCTTTAAAAAATATTACCCATTGTCCACGATAACACCAATACGTGGAGATCTCATTCATGATCACAAGAAAGAGCTTACGATATGATTCTCTCACATTTCTTCAATTACACACATCAACAGATTAAATCTGAACAAAAAAAAAAAGATTGAGGTGAACTACTCCGTTGAAATCGCCGTGAACCGTCAGTCGAGGCGTGAACATCAAACCGCGATGTTCATTCCCCACTGCATTCTATTTCAAAAACTATTCATTAACCTCAATTACATTAACAAAATTTATTTATAAATTATTATTATAAATGTCACACCCCCAATTTCATTAGTGCCTTTGGTTTTTATATCTGCGAATTAAATTATTACTGCGATGAATTGTTTCTCGACGGACACATTCGACCGTGGGACATTTTATCAAGTAAGTTATAATTATTTAGTAATTGTTCAATAGGATAACAGAGGACAAAAGATAATTCAATAAAACATTTAGTTCGAGTGGATTTTTTGAAACACAATTCTTGGTTTCAATGTCGAAGGCATTGAGAGTTTAAAAAAATGAAATCTAATGAATTTCATACGGAATAAACTGGCGGTTGTCACCGGTCGATGGTACATGGGGGCATCAGTGGGGCTTCAATGATAAGAGGGCTGTCATGTTTTTCCATGGAGAATGATGGGAAAAGTCACCGATCGCCGTCCAACTTTATTATTCGCAATAATTATCTTGAGACATGACATTTTTATTAACAATTAGCTGTTCATCCTGCACGAAAAAAAATGTCATCCAAAAACTACAACTGAGATATACAGTTTCTTTGCCGGAATTATATATTAAATATATCCAACTTATATGTTGAATACATCTTCAAAGAAAGCGGTGAGATATATCTGCACAGATATATCCAAAATATATTTTTGATAATAGATTTCTTGCTTGAATGTATGCGATATAATTGACATATATTTCCAAATATCAATTTTTCCCATGTGGGATAACTATTTTTCGAAAATACAGTGAATATTTCTGCCAAAATTTTTTAATATAAAAATATTTCCTCAAAATAGAGAATGCACGTATAATTTTTTACTGAAATCATAAATTCTTTGAAAGTTCTACTATGCAATCCACACGATGATATCACTGATCAGTCCTGGGATGCACATTGGATGGTCAGCAGTAGCTTTACCTTTGTTGACAAAAAATGACACTTCTGGGGGAAGTGATGCGATTCTATACGGCAATGAAAACGCTGCTACCTGGTTCGGTAAGTTTTTTCGGTTTCAGTAATACCCAACAGCACCAACCTTTGATAAAATTCAATGAATACCCTGACTAGCCACCAACCAGCATCAACACTGAAAGGGATCTCAATGAGAAAATAGTCGGCCCCAACTAGTTGAAGGTAGAGACCAGATCAAACACGATCTTTGAGTTCATACCAGCCACGTGTCCGTCACAAACCCTGGCTAACGCTGAGAGCTGTTATGATTTCGATCAAGTCATTTCTGGGTTTCGGATTTAAGAAAATGTATCTTATTATTAATTTACAAATCCATAAAAGTCCTTTAGAAGGAAGGAGTAGTGAGAAGTCTCATTCATCTACACGAGCACTCATCACAGATGACACACCAGATTTATCCAAATTCATTTCAAACCTATAATTTAATAATTCACTCCCGTTATTCTAAATAATTCATTTCTTCTTTCTAAATGGAAGCATTCGCATGTAATGAAACCAATGAGGTCAGATGAGCGCCAAGATATAGAGTGTGAAGATGTATTTATGATACATTATTCACGAGCCACAGAATCAAATCCAATAGTGAAACTATCCCCTTGACGGATATTTTAAGGGCTCCAAATTGGTATATGAATAATGGAAATCCATATAAAACTGAAAGAATTATCGTACATTGAACTTGTTCATAAATCGAAAGTGTGACATTTCAAAATATACATACAAACACTTATAAATAAATATCAAATGGACGAAATCGACTTCGAATATCGATCGTTCGAAAGCTCTTCTGGAGCTCTTCAAAATATATGACATAAGTTATGAGTTAAATTTTAATTTAACAGTAATTTTGAAAAGTAACGCAGGACAAAATTTTGTCTTTGACGATGAATTATTCACGAACTATGTAATACTACTCAATATTAAATAGAGCACCTCAAAGCATACTCCAGGGGGTTCAAAATGACATATAGGTCATTTAAATTCAGGGAAAAATCCGTTGATTACGACCAATCAAACAGAAGAACTACCAGACTTGAGAAACTATCAAATTTAACTTCAAACGACAAATCATTTCCAAGCGACATGATCAAATTGAATATTGAGTATATCATCTTGAAGTAAATTTAACGGGCTTTAAATTATCCCAAACTATCCCAGTAAAAATGAAGAAATTACCGTCAATTGAATGAAAATAAAGCAAAAATCGGACACCTTTTTTTTATAATAGATAAATTGAAATTCTAGAAATCGTGCTCGAAACAAGTTAATTTCTCATTGCACGATTTTCAGATTTTCCATTTTCGGGAAGACTTTATTAGAATGCTGGCTTGCGCGTGCTTTGAATTCACTACGCACTTGTGGTCGTTCAGTCCCTCCACCTTCTTCTCCTTGATTAGATCTCGAATTGTCCCTTTTGGTCCCTAATTTATTCATTATCCGCGTACACACGAACTTCATAGCCTCGGATTTTGTATGTTTGTAGATATCTTCGAGCATTTTTGTGACGTTTGGCACATCTTCTGCATGCTCTCTGGCGATTGTTTGGGATAGGTTGTTCGAGTCTGTGGATATTTGCCTTTGCTTTCCTTTATCAGTTTTTCCGGTTGTAATCTTCGCGGGTTTTTTTCAATCTTAACTTTCTTCACCGGCGTTCTGGTTTCAGTTCGATTTCCTTCCTCTTCCTTCCCAATTGCTCGGTTATTGTCCTCGTCAGTCGCTAGGTCCTCGGGGTTATCTATACTGAGACGTCGAATAGGTGGATAGGTCGCGGTATAAGTAGAAGACTCAACGTTTCAGAGTTTAATAATTCGCCCTTGGTGTATCACCGTCACTTATTTGTATCTCTTCTACGTCTGTGCTGTCTTGTCCGTTCCCAAAATCGGGAACTCTTTGTTCTGGGGGGATCTTTGTCCTTCCAGTCTTCGGAAGACATGATGTTTGGGTTTGTTGGGCACATCTTAGCCACGTGGCCTAATTGATGACATACGAAGCATTCAACTTCGTCAGTCGTGAGGAATGTGCGAATTTGTTTACTTTCCCTTAAGATGAGCATCGACAAGGGTATAATAAGGGCGTCTTCTTGGGAAATGTATACCTGAAGGCCGTGACTCTTGATGTGTGCGAATTTGTAAATCAATAAAATTTTGTTAATCATTTAATCTTCGGTAGCCCAGGGGCTAGGTGCAATTTCGATTCCTCGATAAATCGAATGTTTTCAACAGGCACCGCTGACCCGAACGTGGCTAATAAAGGAACCGCCTATACCGACATGGGGTTTTGCTGTGGTTTCCTATGCCACTTCTAGGAGAATAGGAGAATGAATAGGGTAAAATATAGGGTCCACAGCCGCATCTATAGGGTTGGGACCAATTAGCCCGAAAAGGGCGGAAAGGACCTGAATATTTAAAAAAAAACAGGAATGGCAATCAATTTTTCGAATCTTATGTTCAATTAATTTTTTTTTAATTAATCCAATTTACCAGTTCGCTACTGAATTCAATGATGATACAATATTTTGGGGAATGTTGGCAGCATCAATTGTCGGAATTTCTGGCCCTTTCGGCTGTCTTCTGGGGACATTCTGCATGAGAGCTGGAAGGAAAATTCCAATGGCAATCGTCGGCTTTACCTGCACCGCTGGATGGCTGATAATTTCTTTGAGCTATGGAGTTAAGCAGATTTTGATTGGACGATTTATCGTGGGTACATAATCATTTATTCTTTATCAACAATACTCAGTTGAAAGATTTTAAGAAATATGATTTATCACTGCTCATAAATGACGAAACATTCCAGGTATTGGTACCGGTTTGGTATCAGCACCAACAGTTGTATATATTGCTGAAATATCAACACTTCGGTACCGATCGGGATTAATAAACGGTACTAGTCTAGCCGTAGGTGGTGGTATTCTAATAATTTATCTCCTCGGCTTTTTCATTCCCGTAAGTACCACAAAAATTATTAATTACACGAAATTTGATAAGAGTTTAGTCTGTACTCAGAAAGAGTTTAAGCTGTACATGGAAACTTGAGCATCAATAGCTCATCAGTTACTTCATTTTACTTCATAAATCAATATGAATAAGTATTCAATACAATAGACAACAGATAAATAACAGATGAATAAACTTTTTCATACATCGGCATATATGACGCGCTAGGCACGCCTAGTCTCGTGCGTTATTATTTAATATATAAAATCTGAATCCTAAAAGTATGTATACAAATTAACAAGAAAGACAGATAAAAAATCGAAAAATAGATCTAAAGGAATTACATATAAGCTATGTATCTCTTTGAAATTCAATTGATAAATACAACAATCTTTTTTTCTTAGAGTAGACAATCGATTTATAATTGTATGTTGATCCGGTTATCAGCAATTGAGATATATAAATATCAAGAGTTTATATTTCAATTATCTGGGGCTTGTAACTCATATTCACTTCAAAAACAAAAACAACACAAGAGTATAAGAACTGAGTTGAAATAATTACATTTATTTATTTGTTTGTTTGTTGGTTTTAACTCGCTCATTCAAGAGTATAAAGTAGAGTTTCTTAACGCCTCGCTATATATTGGATATATTTGATATATTATAATAATAATATTTGATGTGAATAGCTTAACTGTGCGCCGAAAAAAAACTGACTAAACAACGTTACATGCGTTTTTCAAAAAAGCAAGTAGAAACACATGACGCTATTGTATAATTTAATAAACCTTCTTACCATTCTCACCAATCTATTTGATTACGATATTTCGACGGAATCAAACAAGGATTGATATCGATTGTAACCCATGATTAATGCCGCTTCGATAACACTTCTTTGATCATTGAAAAATCGATTTTTGGGAATATATCGTTTTCTCGAATCCATAAAAACCGAATTTTAATTGATGTAGCAATCATTAAATCTTTTATTATTATTATTATTAGTGTTATATTTTTAGATTTGGGTGGAATTTATGAATCGCAAATTTCTGAGTATAGAAGAATTCCTTGAATTTACATTGGAAATATAAAACAAAAGAAAATTTATTGCTCATAGCACCCGAAGATTTAAAATTTTAAATTGTATTTTTTCAGAATTGGCGGATGCAAGCTGCTATATCGACAGTAATTCCGTTGCTTTCGGCCTCGTCAATTCTGTTATTCCTCCCAGAGAGTCCTATATGGTTGTTGCATAATAAACAGGAGTCAATGGCAAAACAATCCCTCATGAAACTCCGAGGATTGAAGAGAGAAACCCCTGAACTCGACGCCGAATTTACACAAATGCAGAATTACTGTTTGAAGAAGGTCAAGGAATGCCAAATTCAGACGATTTCTTTGGAATCGAGTGGAACGGTGAAGAATCCTATGGAGCATTCAGCTTCCAATAGGTTCGCTCGTCGATTGCACAAGATTTGCGGGGTAATGAGTTTGCCTGAAGTTTGGAAACCGTATTTAATCCTAAATTCTCTGTTTTTCTTTCAACAATTCTGCGGGATCTGCGCTATTATTGCTTATTCAGTGAACTTTGTCACCACTGTTGGTCTTACAGCTGATCCTTTTCTCATTACCGCTGGGATTGGAGTTATACAACTTTTGGGATGTCTTCTTCTTGTTTCCACGAGTTACAGGTATTTATTTATTTATTTATGTGTTTAATACTCTATGGATTTTTTGCTCGTATGAAAAACTTACGGATGTGGGTCTTCACGGAGTGCAATATTCAAGAGACATTATAGAACATTTCACGTAAGCCGCATACGAGAATGGTTTTCAGTGACTTTCTATAAAGATATATTGAGAAAAATCTGAAACGGTTAATGAATTTGCGGGTCTGTCACTAAAAGAATAGGGAAAAATTACGTAAGATTTCATAAATTTTACGTGTTCCTTCACGCAATGTTTATTAAACTTTCCTCTCTGTTTTCCAATGCATTTTATTATCACGCGTTTAATTTTTTTGCCGCTCCATGGGAATTTTGTAATCGATCATTTAGTTGAAAATTGAAATTGAATTTTAGAAAGTTTCACGAAAATTATATAGAATGTTAGAAAATGTAAAAATACAAAATTTATAAAAACTGGGTGTTTGTGCATGCCTGTATGTGTGTGCAGATTCTTCAATAAAAAAAAAACAATGCAATAAAAGAAGTAGAATTCAAGCTCAAATTTGAAATTATGGAATAATGGATATTGTTGCTAGCATATTTAGGCAAAATTTTACATAGATCCATCGGCTATTTTTCAAGCTGCTTCTCAACAATTATTTTTTGTCGAGTATCTCAAAAACTACTGATTTTATTTATATAATTTGTGCATGACCCATTGTTTTCGGAAAAATGATAAATAAAATTCGCAATCCCTGTAGTTTTTTATGCGTATGACCATTCAAATACTTATTCTCTTCTCAGATTGGGAGTCCGACGAGTCTCAGTGATATCTACTGGGGGAATGGCATTTTCTTTAGGTATCCTAGGAACATATTTACAGTTTATCAAACCTAATGATGTCCATGATAAATATCAACCAATTGCCATTGTTTGTATATTCCTATTTGTGGTGAGCAACTCCCTCAATTAATTTAGATTAAGATTAGAAATATTTAATCAGTAATAATTGAATTTAATCAATAAATTTAAATTATTTTATTAGTTATCAATCCACTCGTTGCAGTTTTTCAGAAATATATTCCAAGCTAAGCGAGATAGTAAAATTTTTGTCAGAACTTCTTTATATAGATAATAACAGCTAATGACAGCTAATGACAGCTAATGACACTTTATATAGCTATGATCATCTCAGTATTATGTATATTCTCTATAAAATTCAATTAATTAATGATTGACAATTTTTTCTGTGAGATTTTCTAATCTTTTCAGCAATATTTAATGAATCCTTTTGATTCCAGGCCACCGGTTCTTACGGTTTGGTAGCTGTACCTTGGTCAATGGTTGGTGAATTATATCCAACGAAATATGTTCACTACCTTGCACCGCTCACCACGTGCATGGCCAACATTTTTAATTTCACAACATTACACATGTATCCGTTACTGTTAGTAAATGGGATTGTATCAGCAGTTTATACTTATTGCGCAATATCGATCATCGCCACAATTTTTATCGCACTTGTCCTACCAGAAACTCAAGGCGTCCCACATCATGACATCGTCGCACGATTTCAGAAAAAATGATGTTTCGTATGACAATTATGAGACTGAAACACATATTTTATTTTGTTTAACTCCAGTGAAATTATATGTTGAATTTAATAAATAGAGAAAAGTGTATTTTGTCCCATCATTGTATGAAAAAATGCAATAAGGCTTCAAAAAACCGCATTATTGTAGACAAAAATTTTCAAAAAGTTGTAACTTTTCAGGGTTTTTCTTTCATTTAGGGGTCACAACTCAATGGGAATAATTATAAACAAATTCTAGTTAAGGCTCCAACCGATCTGATTTTTCATGGCTTTATGGCGCGTACTACGCCGAGGCAGACCACCAAAAATCGGTTATTCTCCAAATCGATTTCGACTCGAATCCAATTATTGACAGTCTGCCCATCTGGACGATCGGCAAAACTTGATAAAAGAAGCATTGCATATTAACATTTCACATTATCTGTCAAGTTTGAAGATCAACAGTTTATGCAGAATTTTCTTTGTCTTTCTCAAACATTTCTAACAAAAAAATACTAAATCAAGAATTTATTGTTGAATGGGAAGTGATATTAGAATCCTAAATTAGATGGAATAAAGTGCCCTGATGAAGACTTCATATAGCATTCGAAGTGTAGGCAATCTCAATTAGAGAGGAAGTTTAAAAAAAAATTTGTAATCTTGCACTGTAATGAGCATGACATTGGCAGGTAGAGGAGTTTTTGGAAAATATATAGCAGAATCGACCAAAGAGTTTTCGCACAATTTCTGTCGGGTTTTAATACATTCTTGACAGTTTTGCGGATATATCTTCAAGATTGCACGCACTGATAAGTTATCGACGGGGCCAAAGTCAGATTTATTTTATTCTCTTCAAAGACGATCGAAGCGCCATCCCTCCGGGCTCATATCACATCATTCATTATTTATACTCCGAAATGAGTGAAAAACTCTGCAAATTTGGGAATAATCTGGAGATTTTTTCGGTGAGTGAATTGAAATCTTTGGGCGCAAGATCAGGAAATCTTTTTTATTCTGCACAATTACTCCGATTTCAGTAAAAGAAATAAATACTCGACTTTCACATAATCAATATCACTTGAAAAAACTAGACTAAATAATTTCCTCGAATTATACATTCCACTCACACAAATATTTACGCTTGTATATTACCATCGATTACTCTATAAATGTGTCAAGAGAATTTAGACAAAATGTTTGTAAGACATTTGTTTCATTCGGTTTTCAGAATCCTAATCGTTTGCCTATAGAGAGACTACAGTTGACTGTGGCAAAAGATGGAGGAACACAATCTGTTCCAGCCCTGGTAACTAATTTCTTAAAAATGCAAGTGATTTATTTTTTTTTAAGTTTATTGGTATGAGATCTTGATTTGTTGAATTTCAGTCCGACTTTTGGGTGGAGAATCGAAACTTTCTGCATTACGAAGAACCGAATATTTATGGCGATGATGGAGTGGAAATCCTGGGAGCCAGAGACAAATGGATTAAAATTGTGGATTACTTGAATAAGGATTTTCAGTGGCTGCTGAGCCTTCCTTATCACAAGTGAGAAATCATTACAATCAATTTTTCTTTGCCTAATGATTTTTTCCTATCATTTGGCAATTTTCATCTAGTTATTCCTGAAATCTGTTTCAGATTCTGGTCAAACATTATTCACAACGAATCCATACCCAAATCAATGTCGATATTTATGGTTGATTCTCCAACGTTTTACACAATCGAAAAATTTCCAAATGACCAGCAGATGATTTCTACCCTTGACAAACTCAGTCGCAATATCATGATAACATTCGCCAGGATAGTAACAAATAAGGAGAGTGAATTTGAATTTATGGAGAAGGATTACCACGGAAAGATAATCTACGACAATTACCTGATCACAGTTCCAATAATGTGGGATATGTGTCAACTCTACGGTCGAAACAATGAAAAAGTCGTTGAGAAAATTCTGAGCAGTGCAATTAAACTCAATCCCTCGTACTCCAAGGATTTTAAACAAGCCGTTGACTTTCTCATTGAGGTGTTCACACACGTGGAGCAGAAAATTGAAAATTCTTTATCGCAGGACCTCAATATGAGTGTAAAAGACATTGAGGACATGGTTGTGCATTTGTTGGACCTCTCGACGTCTATTGAAGTATTTTTGAAGATTTATTCACCAGCTGTTCAGTTATTTTCTACCGAAAATTTCATTACAAAGTAAATATTAATAAGAGAATACAATGAAAAGGAGAGAGTATAAAGACAAATCTCGCCTCCATTTCTACTTTTTATCCCAAAATTATGTTTAATTCATATTTGCTATCATGCCACACAATATCCTGTTGCAGATTGGTGTCGATTTACGGTGGAACTCTCTCCCAGATTTACAAGCAGCTGGAATTGACTGGTTATCATGAGGGAAATATTATTGACTACGCAGAGACGAAACATTTTTTGGACATCACGAGAGTGTCGATGATCAAGGTTTTCAGGAAAATTATTTACAGAGACATTGCTCTGATTCTGGAGCAGGTAGATCCGTCGAAAGACAAGGATGTCAGTCAATGTGTCGACAAATTCCTGAATCACTTGACAGCCACTGTCATGGAGAAAGAATTCCTCAAGGATTATAATACGTTTTACCCCATCGAAATCGACCTAGATGTCCTCGCCCAAATAACTTCAGAAATCGATCCACTGAAGCAGAGCTTTATACTCCAGTCTGTCTCTTTGGCCTTGGCAGATCAAGATGTACCTGTAATCGATCCATTAATTAACGTAAGTGAAGCAAAATCCAGAGAAAAACTCCCTACTTGGTATTTTAATAAGGAACCATTCTTCCAGTGTTTCCAGAGTTCATCTTCGAACCCTTCAACTTCCCAAGAGAATCATCAAGAAATTTCACAGCCAAATCACGTGAATGCGATTTCTGACATGGATAATGCAGAGGATATATTGCTAAATCTCATCAAGGAAGTGAAAGGCATAATGTGTGATTTGGGCGAAGGATTTATTGCTCAGTGCCTGAAATATTATAATAATAATCCATCAGCTGTGATAAATGCCTTGTTGGAGGACAATTTACCTCAGAACCTGATGGAACTCGATCGACAATTGCCTTATATTCCTCCAGACTCTATGGCAGATTCAGCTGCTGTTGATGAGGCTCTGGGTTTCCAGCGTCTCAATATTTTCGATGGGGATGAATTTGATATCATGACTCGTGATAGTATTGATGCCACGAGAGTTCATAAAGGCAAAAGGTTAAAAATTATTATCAATATCAATTTTCTTATTCATTCAATTAAAGTGAATTGATTTTTTCTGGTTTACTATTGGAAAATAAAGTTTCAGTCTACATTTCAATTTATTTATATTAATTTATGAATGATAATTAAAAAATGATTGCATAAATGAATCTTCTATTTAGGGGCTGCATGTACTATCTATCGAACATAATTTTAGGGTTGAATTTTAGGGTAACAAAATAAAAGTCAAACTAAAGATGACTTTCGATAAATACTACATGCTGACCTTGAAAAATAATTGGTGTTCCAGGAAAGACAAATACAAAAATCTCGATGAGATGTTGGACGACAAAACATTCAAGAACGAAATGTCGAATGTCTACGAAAAATATGGAGTCGTCGAGGACGTGTATGAGGACGAATACGACGACACGTACGACAGCCAGGACGTGGGTCCTGGAGGTGTTGACGACTCTGTGGAGATTGATGCGAGGCCTTTCACAATTCCCAGGATTTTACGAGTACCAGAGAAACGTGAGGAACGTGTGTCAGAGGACGACAATGACGAGGAAGAGATAAGGCCTCAGACGAGTCAAAATGGAAGAGGGAATTTCTGTGAGAACCCAGAGGTTTTGAGAGCAAGGGCTGAACAGCGACGTTTGTCAAGAGGTGGAGCTAGGAGACCCCAGGGGGATGTTGTAGGAAAGCCAAAGGGTCAGGGCAACGAGAAGGACGTTCTCCTCAATAGAGACAAGAAAAATATCAATAAATCATCAAGAGCTAATCATAACCGCAGGTCTGGTGCTGAATGGAAAAGAAGACAGGGCATGGTTCCATCTTAATGAAGACAATCATCAACTGTATCATATTCTTTGTAGATAATTGGGAAAAACTTGAAGAACATCAGATGCCAATGCAATACATTAAATCATTATCAATAATATTTTTATGAAACATTTGAATTTTTCTCAAACTCCAAAATATTAACTTCCAGTGGGGCCAATTAACTCAGCTTCTGCGGCTTCTGCCAATTTAGCTTTCGTCCTCGCATCCAGATCCTTTAGCAACTCTATTACCGCAGGACTCTTTTGGAAAGAAGCCAATCTTTTTTTTCTCGAGAGAATTCGTCCAGTTTTTTTGGATAGTCTATCAGCTACTTCGTTTCTCCAATTCAAAATGTGCTCCTGACGATCTTTACGTGTCTGAGGATTTTGTAATCCTGTCTTAGGCTCTAATAAACTTTTTCCGCATATTGAAAGCTCCGTGTAATAACTTTTTAATTTTCTCTTCATGTTCACTTGATAAGGCTTCTTTGGACTATTTACTTCCATAATTAAAGCCGGACGAAGCCAAAAGTTTGAGAATAAATTATCTTTCTGAAAATTAACTAAATCATATGGTTAGGTTATAACAGAAAATTGTAATGAAGATAGCTTGTGATGACTGGTTCTTTGTATTATTGAATTGACTTTACCTGTAGTTATGGAAAATCTCTCTCTAAATATTAATTAACGTCAATTTGTCGTTTTGCGGAGAGATCTTGTGAGTTTTTCTCTAGCTGAAATATTATTGTAGTTTAATTTAGTTTTGAAGTTGCATGGGAATGGACATGTAGGATTTTATCTTACTGATTGTCGCGCTGAAATGTACTTCAATATATAATTGTAGGATTGTTTATATTGTCGAGGGGTTTCTGAATGCGCAAGATGGTGGTGCAGTACCACAAGGCGTGAATTTTTGAGTTTTTTAAAAAGTTATTATTGCACTTCTTTTTCATTTTTCATGTTTCTTGTAAATTTCTGGAAGACATTTTGCTAAATTTTTGGTAAAGTCTAAATTTTGCAGAAGTTCACTGAGAACGTTTTAAAAATTACTTTACAGCCACAAAACTTCGTGGGACATTGAATAATAATAAAGCTTGCAAACAATATATTTTTACACTTTAATCTTCTCACGTGTTTATCAGAGATTTCTAAAAAACTGGAAAGATAAGAGGAAATCGGCAATAATTTCTTGAATCGCGAGGGAATGAAAAATAACTCTTGTTATTGCATCCACCAATGGTGAGTGATTTTATATTTTTTATATCTTTCTTATTCAATTAAATTTGCAATTAAAAATTCAAGCTTCATTCTGCATTCTGCGTTCATTTACGATAAATTGTGAATTATAATTGAAAAGTAATTATATGAATTGATTTTCTAGTCACGGTGCGGATTAATTATTTATCGAATATTATCGAAAGTAATCATTGGTTTGAATTTTATGTTGTTAGCGTAAAATATTTCTACGTTAGAATGAAATATGGAATTTTGTCTGTATCCATCACTTGTGGGTAATTGTAGATTTTCTGTATTAAAATAACATTGTCTGATCTTTATCATTCAAGTTGAATCCATATTTATTATAAAGATTTATTGAGCTTAAAAAATATAGAAGCGGGACTAACTTCGGTTAAAGAAACAAAATAAAATAAAAGAAGTTTTGTTATAATGAATAAAAAAGTCATGAATGTTTTACAATTTTTATTTTTTCATCATTGTTTCCCCAGTTTTCTCAGTTACTTTCTCGTTCTTGTCTTTTATATAACGGCTTATGTGTATTTATAAGAATTCGAAGAAGAAAATTCATTGTCGTTTATCCAAAAAAAAATTAATACCTTAACAGTTAACAAAGAAAAAAAACGTCAAAGCTTTCAATGGAAAATATGGAGTAATTGTTTATTGCGATTGTTAGATTGAATGAAATATGGAAAAATGCTGACGTGGAATTTCAATTAGTTTGTAGAAAAAAATTGTTATCTTAATCAATGGTTATTAATAATTATTTCACTGACTATTGGAATAATCGAAATTCCACATTTTTGGCATTTAGCAATGAAAGTAATTATCATTATCTTTTATACAATATTTTGTCATTTCATTTACACAACAGTTTCATGGATTACTCACTCGCAAATCAATTTATCAGTAATAGACAACTAAAAGACGAATTCATTGTTGAATATACATTTCAATTGAATAGATCGGTAATTTATTTAATCTCGATATTTCTCTTAAATATTTCCAAAGTTTTCCGAAGAAGCTCAAAAGTTAAAGTTTTTTTCTTTCATTTCATAGCAAAAATTGTAGAAGAAAAAATTTATAACATTATCTTTTTTTTTCACCTAAAAATTTACAACAATACGGGGTCCATTATTACTTTCAATTAATTTTTTTTCGTTCTTTTTCTTTGAATTAATTAATGTTGCATTGAAAAAAAGAGCGACGAAATTACAGCGTTCGTAGTTTCTTTTCAGTTATTATCACGGACTCGTATTTTATTTTTAAATATAGCGCACTTTTTCAATCACCGCCCAGAAAATTTTCACCTTATGAGTTAATTTATTATCCATTTGTTTTTTTATTAATATTTTGAGAGTACTTCATCAATATTTGTTTTTTTTTTATTCAAAAAAGCTGTGGAATCAAATCGAAGCCGCGAATATTTTTTTAGTAATAGACGGGTTATGAGACCTCATTATTATGGAATTGTTTATGGTATGCAGTCGAACATTGATTATTTATCAATTCACTTATTGATTGATCATCTGCGAAAAGGTTTCTTTTTAATTCCATACTAACACGAGGCATCTGCTCCCGATAATAAATAAGTCATAATTGGCACGAATAATTAATCGAAAGACTGTATCTGTATTCTTTATCGATTACTCCATGATTTACCATATGTTTTGCTGTTCGATTAATTATCAACACCTCATTATGATTTCATTGAATTTATTTTTATACAATACGGGTAGTTTAAACAGTCCTTGAGCTCATGAAGGCTTCATTGTTTTTTTTTTGTTAGATCGTTTGTTCTTTTATTGAATTCAGTTTCGTCGAAAAAATTTTCCCTCTCACACCTCGAAACTTTCAAATACTTATATAAATCCCGTTCTATACTATCAAAGTATGCTTTTTAAATTGGACGCAATAGTTTTTTTTTATTTATTAATTTTTTTGGCTAGCTTCAAAAAACGGCAAATGTCTCTCCCCTTTTTTTTTCTTAAATATACATATATATATCTTCAATTTCGTATTTCTTCTCGCGGGAAAAATGCTCTTTGTGTACATGTTAATGTGTGTTTTTAATCGATTGGATATTCAAATAGCGTAAATAGTATTTCTTTTTTTTCTCGTTTTTTTTTTGTTAAATTGTTTTTTATTTAAATATTAAATTTAGTAGTAATGCGATAATAACCTTAGTAAGGCCCAGTAAGGCTACGTGGGTTTGTCACTTTCATAATTTTGCTTTCACCCGTTTTATTTTTGAGTTCAATCAATTCTTTTGATGATTCACGAATTACTTTGATTATTTCCATTGCTCAATAATTGGTGTCCGTTACTGGAAAATTCATTTCTCGTCGGCTGTTTTTTTTTTGTCATTTTACAGTTTTCGAGCCACAATACTTCTGATTCAACAACAACAAATTCTCAATAATTGTTAATAATTTTATTAATCAAATTCTTCAATTTAGTTAAATGAAGAAGGAACCAATTTTAAAAGAAAAGACGCCTTATGCTCTTCAAATTCCCCCTTTATTGTCACGTTTTTTTTTTCTAATTTAAATTTCCATCTCTTTTCAATTCTTCGGAAAATGTTATTTCTCTGAAATCCTCAAATTTCAACTGATCTCCGTTTATCAACACTCATCAATTTTATTTTCATTTTACCTAGATTATGGAATGCCCTAAGATTATAGTACAGACTCAATTTCATTATTATTAAATTATTTTAAAGTATTAATGGAAAATTCACTTTAATTATTGGTTTTTAAATTGTGAGACTGCACGTTGATTCATGCTTTTTTGTAAAATTTTCAAAATTTACTTATCAACCCCCAAAACTCTGAATAGTGAATTTAATTTTCTCGGCCTTTGAACTCTGAATTATCAATGTATTTCTTTCGATGGCAAAATTGCATTCCTTATCGCTTAAACCAATAAACAAGCCAAAATCCCCCTCAATAAACCAAATTGGAAAAAGAAAAAACAATTGAAACATCTCACTTGATCTCGAGTGCGAAAAAAATCGCATAAATAATATATACATTATACAAAGATATTTAATATTAAATCTGGCGTTGAATATTAATATTATTATCAATTTTTAATACTTTCATCCGTATCTTTATCTTGTAAATTTCGATACTTTCATGAATAATGCATCATTCCTCCCTGCATCAACTATTTCCTTTTATCCTTCATATTTTCGCATAAAAAACAAGGCAATTAGATTGAGTTTTTATCGTTCATATTAATATTAATTACTTAATTATTAAATTTCTCTCAGATTAATCACTTCATATATACACTATATATCGTGTGAGAATTATTACTTTCTTTTATTCGGATTAATTTTTCCTTGCAAACTAATACGAAAGGGTTTAAGCTCTCAGTAAGAATTTTAGTTAATATAATTTCATTGGTTTTTTTATCAGCAGTCACCTATCACTCTTATTATTACTAAGCCTGTCTTTATGCAAAAATTTCATTTAATTATTCTAACTAGATTCAAGAGCCATTTTTTCATCGTGTAACCCGGGGTCGAAATCCTAAAAATTTCTATACCCAAATGACTTTTCTTCATCTATGAGGTCCGCCTAAAAAAATGTTCGAATAAGTCGCACACGATGTCCTCTTGTGGGAAAAATTTCAGCTAAAAAAATGTATTATTCCATGATTTTCGGGATTTCCCAAAATTTCTTATGTATAGAAATGGAAAGTTGGTGGTTATATTTGAGGGGTAGCATTATTATGGACAGCCGCACTCGTCAACCACCATTTTTGGTAAATCACGTTTTATGATGTTTGAGTCTGGTCCATAATAGATGAGGGACATTGGTGAAAATTTAACTGGTGCACAGCATGGCTGCATACCATCCAGTCTGTCCATTTGTCTGTATTTTTCAATAACGTGGGTGTAATAATTGAGGAATGTATCTGGTGTTCTATGGCCAGCTGTACAATCGCCTCTGCAGTAATTCGCGTAATACCTGAAAATTCAAAAACAAAATTATGAGAGGTTAGATTGATTCACAGATGGCACTTGTGCCGCCTTATACAGATAACCGTTGAACCGAGCTAGTGAATGGAGTACCGGTGAATGAATGAGGGTCTAGCCTCAATCAATTAATCGAACAATTTGTCAATCGATGAGTTACGCCCATTAACAAACCACAGAATCGTTTAACCGCGTCTCTAGAATGAGCAATTTAACGTCCATCCGGTGCATGCACTTCACTCGATAAATTGTTTACTTTTTCCCCCTTGATAGGGACTCCCTTTACAGGATAAATAACAGGGAATAAATATCCATTAATTTGCTAAATGTCAAAAAATATCATGAATAGAAAAACGTGGAGGCAAAACGTACCCTTGAGGAGCAATGATCCAGTCGTCCCAACCGAGCGTTGAAAAGTTGACGTAAAACCTTTGTTTACAACACTGTCCTTTAACAGCTCCACTGCACTCTATCGCTCGTCTTCGCACTCTTTTGATAGCTGTGGGATCCGTACGAACGACTAAGAACGGTCTGTCCGGATCTTGAGTACCTTGAACCAATCCACAAACAATTTCTATGGTTTAACTCGAAATAATTGCCCACCTCGAATTTTCGAGTTCGTTTAATTCCCTCGAAAAAAATAAACCGCCATTTTTCCTTAACATTTTGGAATCCTCTCGAGTGAACCATTGACAAGCCATATTTACTTTTTCGAAAAAGACATTTTTTACGAGAGAATTCGGGCGAATACATATCCAGCCGCCATATTAAGACATTTTGGGGAATTACCGAAATCTGGGTTATTCACGAACCTTGTGGGTCAACGGATGATTCGATAACATTCATCGAATCCGTTCCGAAGGTCGATATCTGGACATTCGTTCCGCACCCCGTACAGTCTATAAGTAACGTCAATTTATCCCGTGAATTACTGTGTGCCGTGAACCAGGTGTTGACTACTCTCGTTACGTCAAACTTCTGCCAACCCAATTGGCTCACACTCACTACCAGTGACGTCACCATTTCCAGATGTTCACTCAGTTCCTAAAACAATTTTTTGAATAATTGTTATTTGATTTATTCTTCTATTTATGTATTTGTTAGAAGTAGAAGAGTCTGATGTTTCACCTTTCCACGCAGATGCGTTCTATTTCCGCATTTAACCCTAAATACCCAGAGGGTGATGTTTTTTTGATTGTACTGTCGTCGATGATGTTTGTAATGATACGAGTGTTTCAATTCAACTCTCGCCCAGAGCGTCGCTCTCTTGATCCTCACGGGCTCCAGTGCTGGTTCACCGCTCGACATTGGAAATTCAAGGAGTGGTTGACCATTTAACGTTCGTCCTGAAATCACAAGCAACAAGTTTTCGGATGACAATGACAATGTGCTGAAATTCTACATACTTGATCTATCGTACTGTGTGCATGTTTCGAAAATATATTACTGTAATTTCATTATGAATGAAACCAGAAATGGCAATTGTTATTAAAAATGTGCGTCCAATGTTGAAGTTTTTCGTAGTTAAACATTGAAGGGTGGGGAGAAAAATGAGGCCCCAGTCCACTCTAGCCTAATCTTCATCCCCAATCCTTTTCAACGAAATAAATCGATACGAATGATGTCAATAATTATTTAAAAATCATCACCAAAAATTTTTCACAATTCTCGAGCTTTACGTGAAGTGAGAAGCTGTAAATTCACTGAGATGATACTCGGGTGCATTCAATACGTCGTCAGCCATTGCTTACTGAGATAGTGCGATCTCCATTTTCTTTACGGCTATAAATTCGCCGAGAAGGGGTGGCATGGAGTGGGGTTGGAATCGTATAACACGAGTTTACCGATTTCAATACTTCCATCTTTACCCACCAAAGTGTACTGTACAATTTTATTCTGGCTGGTGAGGGGGTCGGTTTCAGTTATTATTGCTATATTGGCGCAACCAGGCGGATGCCGATGAATTGTCCCTCCCGCGTGTACAGTCTACTTTAACATCTCCTATGGAGACAATCACGTGATTTCAAGTTTTATTCATAATTTTATATCGGCCATTCGGGATATTGTTTACGAGGGAGATAACCTATCGATGCTGGTGTCCATAACGTGGGTTATTCCAGTTGTCTGGAATTAAAATTGTCAATTCTGAAAAACGTTAAGGCCCAAATGGACCATCTGCGATCTTTTGTTTGAATTCTAGCTTTTTTGCCTGAAATGTATTCAAATTTGGGATCAAATTTGCGTTGCCGAAGTGACTCGGATGATTATAAAAAGATAATGGGAAAAAAGAGGAAAAATTATTGATTAATGATTGATGATTCCTTTTCAATGAATATCGCAATTTAGGGGCCCTGCAATTTAGGGCCCCTAAATTGCGATATTCATTGAGAAGGAATCATCAACTTTCCAAAAAAAATGCTCTCTATTTTTTATTATTTTTTTAGAGCCCTAAATTGCGATATTCATTGAGAAGGAATCATTAACTTTACAAAAAAAATGCTCTCTATTTTTTATTACTTTTTTAGGGCCCTAAATTGCGATATTCATTAAGAAGGAATCATTAACTTTACAAAAAAAAATGCTCTCTATTTTTTATTACTTTTTAGGGCCCTAAATTGCGATATTCATTGAGAAGGAATCATCAACTTTACAAAAAAAAATGCTCTCTATTCTTTATTACTTTTTTAGGCCCCTAAATTGCGACATTCATTAAGGAGGAATCATCAACTTTACAAAAAAAAAATGCTCTCTATTTTTTATTATTTTTTTGTGAACTTTGATAGATCCTTTGCAATCATTATCGCGATTTATCGCGCTTCAGTAATTTCTCCTATTTTTTTAATTATTTTTTTATAACCACTCGAGTAATGCCGACCACATAAATTTGATTCCAAACTTTGATATATTTTAGGCTAACTAGATAAAATTGAAACAAAAGATCATATTCCATGAATAGTCCATGCGGCCTTTAAACAAATATAAAAATATTCGCAAGATTGAAAATGAACTGTTTAATTTAATACCTGCTTGGGAAATTAACTTGCGTCAAGCTAAAAAATCAAGTTGAAACATCGAATTGAATCAAGTCAAAAAACTGATTTAAATTCAATTAAACAATCGATTTGTATCAAGTCGATAAATGGACTTGAATCAAGCTGAAAATCGAATTGAATCATATCCGAAATTGGCAGCAATTAAGCTAACGAATCAACTTGAGTAATCCCGAAAAATTCAATTAAATCAATTCGGAAAATTGACTTGAACAGAACAGATTTTTCGATTATCCATTCAGATCGACTTTTTTCATCAATTGATTGAAATTAATTAATTAATTAATAATTTTCTTCTCTTTTGCTCTCGGTGTCGCGACGTCATCTCCGGATTCCACGTTTTAGGAGTGACTCCAGGTGAGCCACATTCCGCCGATGGCTAGAAAATGACGGGGAGGGATATAGTGGGGGATGAATGCTGGGTCAGAGGGTGGAAGTGGGTGGGGAAGGGTGAGGAGGGAGAGGGGGGGGGGCTCTCTATAGGGTGTCTGCCGTTCGTCTGCCTTTTCCCTCCCTCGTTTTCACGTCCACTCGCGCGCACATTCCTTGAGGTATAATTTCACATACCATCACTACCACTCCCAACTACCCCCTCACTCCATCCCTTCCACGAGGATGGCTTCAATGAGGGGTTGGGTGCACTTGCACGAGGGAGAGACAAAAATTACGAGAGTCATCGCCTTTGGTTCGACAGATTTATCGGGCGTAAAGCATAAAGTTACAAAGTACTCACTATTTATTATCATTTATTTTTACACTGAAGTTGTAATGTTTCTTTTAAGGGGAGGAGAGAGGGCGCTCTATGGTGATGAATTTTTTTGCAAAGAATTTCATGTTTTATGGGGCTTACGGAAGAATGATTGACGGTTTTATAGAGACAAGGAGGTGTTTACTCGGACGAGTGACGACATTTTCACATTTTTTTTTTCATTTCCATTTTTAGATTATTTTTTTCTCGGTGAAATTTTGGCACTTGGACTGACGCAAAAAAATTCTGACGCGCATAAATCCATTAAGAAATTTACACTTCGACCATTTCTTCTGCTCGTCACTCTGATTTTTCCATAGCTTTGCACGGCGGAAACATAAAAAGGGAAATAAAAATAGTTGAGGTTAGAATTCATTCAAAATGGTGGTAGGAGCGCCAACTTGTGGACATCTGAAATGGCAGAGGATCGATTTATTGGTCATCGTCAATTTTTCCTCAGTTTTATCCCTCGATAATGAAATATTTAAGGAGAGGGCGGAAAGACCGGGGATGGTCGATAGGATATTAATGCGGCGGATATAATGTTACGCTTGAATGAACATGGCGAATATCGTCGCCAGGATTTTACCTATTTCGATGACAGATCGACATGAAATACATTACGAAGCCAGTTCCGCTCGCCATTTTTACTCTAACCTCAAGAAAAATTTCAGAATATAAAAAAACATAGTAAAATCTCTCATAAAAACAATTTTGCAAATCAAAATGAGCGCTACGAAAAAACTCTACCAAAAATTAGCTATCTCCCTTCGATTTTGAGATATTCTTTGGAAATTCAACAATTATCTAAATCCATTCCTTATTCTTCCGCTACTCAATTAATTTCAGTCATTATTGATCCGAGCGCCATCTGGATTCTAACCTGGAGAAGATAAAACGAGTTGAACTTCTGATTTGGATTGATTTTTGTTGCGTTTTTTGAAAAGAGAAAGAGTTTTCATTCAGTTTTCGTTTCGCACGAGTTGAGCATGAGGACAATGAAAAGTAGATCGAGGTATTTGGCAGTTTCCTTTGATTTTTTTTTCACTCGAGGTCACTTTGGATATCATTTGGTGTTGCGCCGCAATGCGACACTAGCACTTTGGTCTGACCTGACCCTCAGAATTCAGATACTACTACTGACGCCAGTACCAATTCTTCAGTGGAGAAGGAATTGATAGCATCAGGCACACCAATCTCCAAGGGTTAACCACATGTTGCATATTAATCGCCCTTAATACCCTCAATTCACTTCTTCTCATTTGCTAATTTATTTTCATTATCAATTGATTACCATCGAAGCAGAAAACCGGTTCCACTCCATTTGAACCGTTCATATCTTTTCAATTAACAATTCATATCTCCCAAATCTCCGCAGATATAAAAAAAAAATAATCAAAAAAGGTAATTATCCAAAATTTCCACTATCTCTTTTACTTTCGCCGATATATCCCGAAATATATCTCAATACGTTCCAGGTCGACTTAAATCGTTTCACCTGTTAGTTATTAAATAAATTGATAGATTAATCGTTAATCGGTGAATCGTCTCGTTTTGTCATTCTTTGTAATGATAAGGATGGTGACTATAAATTAAAAACTAATTGTTGGAGAGAAAATTTTTTTTTTTTTAGGAAATCACAAACAGTGACAAATAATTTATGGACTTCTTTGTATTTGCAATGTAAATACTGCGAATATTTACGATGTATCAAGTTGTCGTCTATCGAGCGCATTTAGGTATTAACACGGCCAAGGTTCATGTGTTATAGGCCTCTTCTATTGGTCGATTCACTTGTGATCGAACTCTACCCCCTTTTACCCCCTTGTAACTGTCTCTCACCTCATGTTATCCACTTCAGAGTCACCCTCTCTTTCTCTCTCGTTCTCAGGAGTATAAGTTGGACTTGAAATCGATTCTCAAGGACACCAGCGATCGTTCAACTATACTCCTCCTCCGCCCCCTCTGCTGCATTGATTGGTAATTTAATGAGTTTCTTCGGGTAATTTAAATTTTCCCTCTTTCGGGGAATTCAATTCATGAAGAGGAAGGGAAAAAGAATATTTTCAAGAGCTCTGAGGGATAATTTATATTAATACAAGAATTACGGGTAATTGTTTTAATTTTTTTTTTTAAACTTTTTTATTTTCGTATTTTTCACGTGCAAAAATTTTATTATTATCTATAGAGCTCTATGAAATGAATTATTTGTTTATGACGAAATTAAATTGGGGATATTGCAATTATGGGATAATTTAATAACGTAACTACAAAATTAACTCGAAAGAAAAACTTTTATTTATTCGCTCGGAAGACACGGCTTATCCTCATCGATGCCATAGCAAAACAAACTAAATTAACAAAGGGATCCAACACCCTAGACCTCAAGTGACGTCGTCATATAAGATCTCATTCATTCGAGTCTATTGAGGCTAAGAAAGAAAACATAAACATCATAGCCCATACGTCTCAGAATTCCGGTCAATAAAAATGTTCGTAACTATTGAATACAGATATAAAGTGAAAAATATAAGATTTAATTTTGTCT